AATTAAAAAAAAAATTAATTAAAAAGTAGCTGGCAGGGCGGAAGCAGCCCGCGTCAGACATGATGTAGATCGTGTCAGTGGGGGAGTAAAAGTAAAGCGCTAACACTAGCAATTATAGTCACAATCTTTATTCTCTGCATTCTTTCCTCCCTTTTTCACACCACCCTTATCCTTTTTCTACTTTTTCCCTCTGGGTTTCAGTTTCGTTTTAGTAAGGATTTTACGCGGGTGATTAGAGAACGCCACTGGTAGATCCTACTCCTTTGTCCTTTATTTTCCCTGTCTTGTTTCTGTCTGTCTGTATTGCTTACTTTTTCCCAGCTGTAAATGACCATTATTGTGTCGGTGTGCTTCTCTTTACTTAAACAAACAAACAAACAAATCAACCCACAAGAGTTTTACGGCATTTACAACATAATTAGGTCGTATGAGTGCCGGAGATTAGAGGCGAAGAGAGTAAGAAACACAACAAAGAAGGAGGAGAGATAAGGACGATAGACGTTTGACAGGAAAGAAAGAGCGAACCAAACCAGAACCACTGAAAACCACCAACTTTTACAACTGGGTCAGATTATGCTCTGCTATGGAGATAGCCTATTTATTGTGTTATTGTAAGAAGTTTTCCTCTTACTAAAGCATAAAACTCCTTCGCGTTTCGTTGTCCTTAACTTTAACTGGTCGCTTCTAAGCACAAGAGGGCTATCCCGAAAAATGCTGTTTTGAGAAAATTGAAGTTAAAGTTTTTGGACCCTTGTTCTGTCTCTTTAAAAGACAAGGAGATGTTGCTATATAACTAGACACATATACGCACCACTGAAACCTAACTTCTCCTATTGGTAGGGCAATGACCACTTTTGGTTTTGGTCAAGATTTCTGGAAACCTCCGAAATCTGGGTTAGCCCGCTTGTCCTTAAAAGCGACCATTACTGTAAGTGGGTTGTTGGATGGCTCCACTCAGGGAAGTTATTGCCTCTTTTTCTGTTACTTTGTTTGTTTTTTCTGTCTGTCCGACTAACTCTTCCCGTGCACTAAAAGATCGTTATTGTGTTAATGTGCAGCTCTTTACTAAAAACAAAACAAAAACAAAAACAAAACAAACAAACAAGCGAAACAAAAGAAATAAGCAAGTGTTCGTTAAATGCTTCAATTTCTAAAACCCGAATGTTCCTCAAATGTTTCTCTTTTTAACTTAAACAAGCAAACAAAGAAAACAAACAAAAACAAAACTCGCAAAATTAATTTTCATCGAATGGTTCTCTTTACTCAATTCAACAAACAAACAAAAGTTCCTCAAATGCTTTTCTTTACTCTGCAAACAAATTAAATGCTCCTCAAACTGTGTCTCTTTTCTCAAACAAGCAAACAAACAAACAAACTGTTTGGCGGGTGCTCTGGTGTGGGTTTTTTTATGTTTGTTACTCTCTTGCACAGAATTTTACCCTAAGTGTAGAATTCTTTGCTCTCTTGTAACACCTTTAAATCCTCTGGCGCTCATATGACCTTATGCCAGCGCCGTAAAACCTCTACTAGAACTAAAGAAGGGCTCTCCACCTGTCTCTGTTCTTTGTGATCTTCTCCACCTTCAGCCAGCTGTGCCCCAGGTATAGATCTGCCTCTGGATCTTGCTCCCAGGTGTCTCTCGGTCCCCAAATTATGCTTCCCTTTCCTCAGACGAACAAACCATTCATGTTCCTCTAAGGTGACTATGCTGGAATTCCACCAAGCAAACAAACAAACTAAGAGACAAACAAATAAACAAATGTTCCTCAAATGCACCTCTTTACTCAAGCAAACGAACAAACAAAAGCAAAGTTCCCCAAACCATGCTTTCCTCTCTTTAAACAAGCAAACTATTCATGCTCCTCAAATGTGACTATG